GACACTTCCCTCTTTGTGCACTCTCTAAGGCCTTGTTTGGTTCATGGGAATAGGCTATTTCAATTCCAACTATTTGATTGGGGGAATGACCATTCCTTGCCCCTCCCTTTGGAATGAAATTCTATTCATGTTGATTCTAATTTTCATTCCTATTACTGTATGAACTAAACAGATTATGGGGATGGACTATTCCGATTCTGATTCTAGAGGATTTTGATTCCGATTATAACTATGAACCAACAGACCCTAAGGCCTTGTTTGGTTCACGGGAATAGGGGTCTGGAATCAAAATCTAAATAGGCTATTCCAGTTCTGACTATTTGGTTGAGCAGAATCAGAATCTCATTTTCATTCCTATTGGAATGGCATTCCCCCATTTGAGGGAATGGCAATTCCTTGCCCCTCCCTTGGGAATGGAATCCCATTCTAACTGATTCCAATTCCCATTCCTATATGAACCAAACAGACTATAGGAATATACCATTCAAATTCTGATTCTAAAGGATTTCAACTCCAATTTTGGCTGTGAACCAAACATACCCCAAGTCTTTGTTGCCTTGGTAGCAGCTAGGGTTGCAACTTTGGTAGACCTATCCTCCTAAGCTTGACTTATCCAACCCAACTTTGTGCATAGATTGGCCGGGGCAAATAGGGTTGCAACTTTGGTAGACCTATCCTCCTAAGCTTGACTTATCCAACCCAACTTTGTGCATAGATTGGTCGGGGCAAAAACTTGGGCCTTGTCTAAACTTGGGTTGAGATATTGGGTAGCCCGACCCAATCTGAGTCCGCTTGAACAAATAAATACACAAATGCATTATATTTTTATAAAACCATATTTTTTAATTATATATACATATATTGTTTTGGGAAGAAATTATATATACATTTAAATATTTAATGTATAAAACACACACACACACACACAATATATATATATATATAGTAAAAGTGTACGTGCATTGCACATGGTAATGTCAAATGATGACAATGATAATAGTCAGCAACCAAATGACCTTAATGGTTAAACCATTAACCTATTTAACCAGGAAAATGGACTACCATTTCTATCTTTACTAACAATAATTCTTATTTTTCAAACATATTTTTGTTTAATATGAAGAATATATAATATTAATGCATGCTCAAAATTTTCTATAAAATTTATAAAAAAATTATATTTTTTTATTATTAATTATTATTTAATTTATGAGATAATAAAAACTACTTATTTACCAAGAGGAAATACAATTCAAATATATTGTTTGAATATTGGTTTTTAATGTTGTGGTCAAATCAATTATATATATATATATATATATATATATATATACATATATCATTTATATATAATATATATGTAATTTATTATTTATTTATAAATATGTTATTTATATTGCATTTTTAAACTTATTATATGATGAAAATAGTTGAAAAAATACTTATATTTTGTTTTTCTTTATTTCAACTATTATATTTTTATTTTCCTTTTAATAATTTATTATTATTTTAAAATTAAATCATATTGTATTAGATTCAGATATCCAGCATCTTGATCAGATTCAGGTTCGAATCAATATTTATGAGATTCGATTAGATCTTTGGATCGAATCAAATTCGAATATACCTTGATTCAATTCCAATCTGATCTGTTTGCATCCCTACCAAACCACTTGTCTACAATACCTACCTAATTAGATCATTGAACCATTTGCCATGGTTAGTGGGGTCATGTGTTAGACATTAATGCTTTTTATTTTTTATCCTAATTTTTATCCCATTTCTATCACTAATGAAAATAAATCTCATTAATCACACTTTTTTTAATGATGAATATATAATATTATAGAATGAACACAAAATTATCTATAATTTTTTACATTGTCTAGAATTTTATGTATTTTATTATTTAATAATAGCATCATGTGTTGATCTATTTAACATGGATAGTTGAACCACTAACCCACCACTTGGACGGAAAAACCATTTTTTCCTTTTCAATTGATTTTAAATCATGTATTACATTTTCATCATCAATAAAAGTAAATCTTATTTTTGTACGTGGCAATATCAAATGATGATGATGATAATAATCAATAACCAAAGGACCTTACTGGTTGAATCGTTAACCTATTTAACTAGGAAAATGGACTATGATTAAGACATTAATTCATTTTTTCTTTGTATTTTAGCCATTTCTATTTTTACAAATAATAATTCTCATTTTTCAAACATATTTTTGTTTAATATGAAGAATATATAATATTAATGTATGTTCAATTTTTTTATAAAATTTATAAATAATTATATATTTTTATTTATTATTATTTCATTTATGAGATAATAACTTATTTACCAAGAGGAAATGCAATTCCAATATATTGTTTGAACATTGGTTTTAATATTGTGCTCAAATTAATTATTTATATATAATATATATGTTATTTATTATTTGTTTATAAATATGTTATTATATAGTGCATTTTTGTAAACTTTTTATATGATGGAAATAGTTGAAAAAGTACTTATATTTTTTGTTTTTTTATTTCAATTGTTATATTTTTTCTTTTAATAATTTATTACTTTAAAAAAAATTAAATTGGATCGTATTGGACTCAAATATTTGACATCTTGATCGAATTTGGATTCAAATCAATGTTTATGAGATCCGATCGAATCTTAGTATTTGATCAAATTTGAATATACCCTAATTCAAATCTGATATGATTTGTTTTTGTCCCTACCAAATCACTTACCTACGATGACCTAGATAATTAAATTATTGAACCACTTGACATGGTTAGTTAGGTCTTGTGTTAGATATTAATGATCTTTATTTTTTATCCAATTTCTATCATTAATGAAAATAATTCTCATTAATCACACTTTTTTATATAATGAATATATAATATTTTATTATTTAATAATAACATCGATTTGACATAGATAATTTTACCACTAACCCACCACTTGGATTGAAAAACCATTTTGTTTTTTGGTTGATTTTAAATCATGTATTTCATTTTCATCATCAATAAAAGTAATTTTTATTTTCACATTTATTTTTGTTTAATATGATGAATATATAACAATAGAATTGCATCAAAATACTTTATACAAAGTTTATATTTTTCTTTGAGTTTATATGTATGTGTGTATGCATGTATGTTTGTATGTTTGTTTGTTTGTATGTATGTATGTATGTATGTATGTATGTATGTATGTATGTATGTATGTATGTATGTATGTATGTATGTATGTTTGTATGTATGTATGTATGTATGTATGTATGTATGTATGTATGTATGTATGTATGTATGTATGTATGTATGTATGTTTAATATTTGTTACTTAGTTATGACATCATAGATTGAGCCATCTGACCCGGAATGTTAGATCATTGACCCACCTATCATCTAGATATGGAAATGGTTTCACTTTCAAACTGATTTTAAATTTTGCATTTCATTTATATCATTGATAAAATAATTATTATTTGTCATACTTATTTTTGTTTATATTATTAGTATATAATATTATAAATGTGCCTAAAATTGTTTTCATATTTTTTTGTATTATTCTATTTTAAAAATTTTATTTTTAATTATACATCACGGGTTAACCTATTTGACCTGAAAGGTTGAACCACTAACCCACCCCCTAGATAGGAAGATGGTTTAATTTCCCATCGGTTTTAAGTTGTATATTTGATGTTCATCATTAATAAAATTATGTCTATTTTATCATAGTTATTTTTTAATATGACAAATATATAATAGTAGAAATGTGTTCAATTTTTTTTCAAAATTTATTTATTTTTTATATTTTTTGTATTTCTTATATTTCTAAATTTATATTATTTATTTATTACATCATGAAATTATCTATTTGACCCAAATGGTTGAACTACTTACCCAACACTTAAATGAAAAATATGATTCCATTTATATGTTTATTTTAAAATATAAAATTTCATTATATTAATAATTATTGTGTATGGATTTATTAGTGAAATTTAATGATGATAAACAAAAGTGTAAGTGTTGGATTCAATGAGAGAGAATGCGATTTATTTAATGACTTAAATGTGAGACTTAATGAGGGGTAATTGAATGTACTTAATGTCATTCTCTTAATTATATTTTTACCCTTTCAATGGAGATGAACCAAATTTAAGAGGGGTATTTTAGTAAAGAAAATTTTCAGAAACCAATTCCTCCTCATTCACACTTTTATAAGTAGTATATATATACACACACACACACACACACACATATATATATATATATATTAATAAATGAAATTTGTATATATTTTCAATTAATTTTACTCAATTAGGCTATAAAACCCAAGAGAAATGTATTTATAAATTCTTTCAAACCTAAACCAACTCGATTAATCCTTGCCTAACCCAACTCAGTTGTGTTGGGTCAAGCTCGGGTTGGGCTAGGCCCGAGTCAAAGGTTTGTACTTTGCACCTTTAAGGTTGGGCCCCGAGTTGCAACCTTAGTGGATAGCCAGTAGGTCTTCCATTCCATATTCCACGTGGCCTAAAATTTTTGAAAAGTTTTTGGGGCTCCACGTAGTTGAGAAAGGTGGAATGGTCGTGTATGGGGGTGATCATTTCAGCCTGGCCCGCACAAAAGGTCGGCTTGGAAATTTCGGGTTTGGGCCTGGTTTTTGTATTCCGGCCCGACCCATATCAAGCTTGCAAATTTTAGGGCCGAGCTTGGACTTAATACTTTAAGCTCAGTCCACATATATTTAAACTTATACATTTTATGTATAATATATACATATGTATACATGTTATTTTACATTATATTATATATTTTATGTAAAAATATTATAACATGACATGTATAATTTATATTGTACGTAAGATTTTATATTATATAATATATAAAATAAGTTTATATGCATATTATGTCATTTAATATATAAATTTATAATGCTTTATATATGAGTGACATTGATCTGGAATCAGACTCGGATTAGGGCTTATGTTTTAGGCCTGAAACCCCGGGCAAAACTGGGCCCAATCCTAAGATATAGCTTTTATCATAAGTGCAAACCCCGGCCCGACGGCCCATGATCACCCTTAGTCGTGTACCAGGAAGAACCGGCCGTCCGATGAGCATTTCGTAGTGGAGGCAGTGTTGGCGCCGGTGTTGGTTCACTCTGCTCTGCAAGTCATGGAGGATTGAGAAAGAAGATGTAGAGAGTGATTACTTCAAGAAGAAGGTGGTCTTCTGATGATCTCTGTATCATCCAAGGTACTCCAAAAGCCCACTTCCTTTCGCTTATTGATTTCTTATCTGCTCAACTGCACGAGCAGCTTCACCACTAACTGCACTTCTTCTTCAAAAACCCTGGAGAAGATCTACAACGCATTTCACCAACAAAACCCCAACCTTCTCCATCAAATTTCTGTCTCCGAGTTACAACCCCACCAAGTCGAATACATTCTCCGTCGCCTCCGCTCGGAACCCAGTTCAGCGTTTCGGTTCTTCGAATGGTCCGAGAGATTTTTGGGGTCTCGCCACTCCCTTGGCTGTTTCTGCAGTCTCGCTCATGTATTACTTCGATGGCGGATGTTCGATGCCGCTCGACCGCTTGTCGGTCGAATTGTTACACTGTTTGCGGATTCCGACGTGTTTGTTGCTCTTTCAGTGGGATTTTCTACTTATAATTCGAGCCCTAGCACAGTTTATGGATTCTTAGTTGAATGCTACTGTCGGGCGGGAATGGTCGATCGGTCGGCCGAGATTTTATTTCGAATGTGCAAATCGGGGATTCTGGTGCCGCATTATGTGCGCTTGTCGCTGTTTAGGTCCTTGATTGATTCAGGTAGGTTCGAATTGATTCTGGAAATTCATAGAGAGTTGTTCAATGGCTCAGGAAAACAACCAAGTTGTTGTTTTCCGATGTATAATTTTGTCATGGATCAGTTTCTGGAAAAGGGCGATGCAAGAAAGGGCTTAGATTTCCATCAGTTGATGATTGAGAGAGGATTTATGCCTGATATTGTCTCTTGTAATAAGTTTTTAGACTCCCTCTGCAAGGGGAATCTGGTAAGAGATGCTTCGAATTTCCTTTCCATGATTCTATTCAAGGGTCCAAAGCCAAATTTGGTAACATTCAGCACTTTGATTAATGCATACTGTAAGGAGGGTAGACTGGACGAAGCACTTGAACTTTATAATCTAATAATCGAGAAGGATATGTCTCCTGATCTAATTGTCTACAGTATTCTTATTGATGGTTTCAGTAAGATAGGGAGGATAGAGGAGGGGCATGATCTTCTTTCAGTGGCTTTAGGTGCAGGGGTTAAGCCAGATGTGGTAGTTTTCAGTTCAATTATGGATGGGTACATCAGAATTGGAAATTTAGAGAGAGCAACTGAGGTATACATAAGAATGTTGAAGGAAAGTATCACACCTAATTTGGTTACTTACAGCATTCTTATTAATGGGTTGTGTCAGAAGGGTCACATCCTTGCGGCTTCTGGGATATTTTGTCAGATTGTGAAGCATGGTTTTGAACCATCTATTTTAACCTATAGTAGTCTTATAGATGGCTTCTGCAATTATGGGAATTTGAGAGATGGGTTTCATGTGTTTGAATCTATGGTAGAGGAAGGTTGTGTCCCTGATGTTGTTGTTTACAGCATACTTATAAAGGGTCTCATCAAAAAAGGGAGAATGGTTGATGCTCTTAGGTTCTTTTTCAGGGCAGTGGAGAGGGGTTTAGAGCCCAGCCTTGTTACTTTTAACATATTAATGGATGGTTGTTGTAGAACAAAACGGTTAGCAGATGCACTAAAGATATATACACAGATGGGAAGGGATAAAGTTGCCCCTGATTTAGTTACATACACTATGCTCATCAAGGATTTTACTGATCAAGGTAGATTAAATGAGGCATTGATCTTGTTCTTTCAAATTGTAAAGAAAGGCTTCTCACCGGATGTTATAATGTACTGTACTCTCATTGATGCACTTTGCAAGCAAAAGAATCTAAAAGCTGGATTAGAGATTTTCAATCTGATGCTCAAAAATGGAGTCATTCCTGATATAAACATCTACAATATTATCATTAGTTGTCTTTTTGAAACTGGCCATGTGGAAGAGGCATCAGAGCTTTTCCATTGGGTTCTAAACTGTGGGACAGAACCAGATATAGTAACATTCAACACAATGATATGTGGCTACTGCCATGTGAAAAGGTTGACTGAGGCAATTTGTCTTTTCGACAAATTGACACATAAAGGGATCCATCCCAACACAGTTACATTTACTATTCTAATTGATGCTTTTTGTAAAGAAGGTCGAATGGATGAAGCAATGTTGGTCTTCTCTGCCATGCTGGAAAAGGGTCTCACACCTAATGTAGTCACATACAGTTGTTTAATGGATGGTTATTTTAAATTTCAAAATGTGCAGACTGCATTGGAACTTCATGAAGAGATGCTTGAGAACAAAATCTCTCCAAATATTGTCAGTTATAGTGTCCTCATTGATGGCTTTTGCAAGAGGGGCCAATTGGATGAAGCATCATTGACTTTCCATTGTGCTCTAGACAGGGGTTTGCTTCCTGATGTTGTGGCATATGGAATTATGATCAGTGGCTACTGCAAAGTTGGACGATTAGTCGAAGCCATGATGCTCTATGACCAGATGGTGGCTAATGGTGTCATGCCTGATGGTTTTATCTTGAGTATCCTTGCAGATTGTCTTCTTAGAGTTGGAGAGAAGAATCTTAACAAACTCAACTAATGCATTTGTAAATGGAATCTCTCAGATAGTTCAGCTGGAGCATTCTTTATACCATAGTGAATTTATTCAAGATACCATTTGTATATGTAATTAGTAAGTCCATTTAAATCAATTGTTGTGAAATTGGTAAAGAGTTATATGAGATAGATGCCATACTTTTGTTCCTTAATCCTAAAATGTGTGGGGACGCTTCTTTGAATGATTTTAGACCCATAAGTTTTACACAACCAGCTTATTTAAGATTGTGGCTAAGTTTTTGTCTATAAGACTAAAGAATGTACTTCACTTTGTCGTATCAAATGATCAAGGATCCTTTGTCAAAGATAGACAGATATTGGACCAAATTTTAATAGCCAATGAATCAGTGCAAGACTTAAGGAGAGTAGGGAAGAAAGGCTTTGTATACAAATTAGATCTAGAGAAAGCTTATGATCATATTAATTGGGGTTATCTTTAGTGTACAATGCAAGAAATGGGGTTTGGGGCCAGATGGATTAGGTGGATGATGGAGTGTCTGAAGACCACTCATTTTCAATCCTTATTAATGGCTTCCCAAAGGATTTCTTTAAAGCAACTAGAGAGATTTGACAAGGAGATCCTTTATCTCCTTCGCTTTTTATTTTGGGTGTTAGATTTCTAGTAAATTGTTAAAAAGAGTTGATGAGTAAGGTTTGTTCGAAGGTCTAAGGGTGGGGAGACAAGAGAGTGGTGTCTCATTTACAGTTTGCATATGATACCCTCATTTTAGGTGAATTTAGGGGAGTTCAGGATGTGAGGAGCTTTAAAGAATATATTTGGAGATTGTAGAGAAAATTTTAGGTTTGAAGATTAATTTGGCAAAGCGCAGTTTAGTATGCATGCAAATGGGAGCTAGTGAGTTAGAGGACTGTGCAACAATCCTAGGGTGTGGGATAAAAGAGTGGCTGCTAAAGTATCTAGGAGCTTTAAAGAATATATTTGGAGATTGTAGAGAAAATTTTAGGTTTGAAGATTAATTTGGCAAAGCGCAGTTTAGTATGCATGCAAATGGGAGCTAGTGAGTTAGAGGACTGTGCAACAATCCTAGGGTGTGGGATAAAAGAGTGGCTGCTAAAGTATCTAGGCTTACCTTTAGGTGGCAATCCAAGGGATGGATCTTTTTGGGAAGGATTAATTGAGAGATTTGAGAAGAAATTGGCTACTTGGAAGAACAATTACCTGTTGAAGGGTAAATTTAATTAGGTCCACTTTGTCCAACTTATTGATTTACTTCTTGTGGGTATTTAGAGCCCAGGGAAGATAGTGCAAAGATTGGTGAAGTTAATGCAGAGTTTTTTGTGGGATATTGGGGGAATTAACAAGGAGCATCTTATGAATTGGGAGGATATGTGTAGGCCTAAGTAGTTTGGAGGGTTGGGAATAGGGAAGTTGCAAGGAAACACAAGGCGCATTTTAGGAAAATGGCTATGGAGGTTCCCCAAGAAGAGGGAGGCATTGTGGCACTTGGTGATTAAGAGTTTCTATGGGTTGCATCAAAATGAACGGGACTTGGGTCTTACTAGAAATCAGTCTTCAAGAAGCCATTGGAGGTCAATTATGACATTACTCACTCGCCTTTTTGCAACACATAAGATAAGGTGCCAAATCAGGTCACAGGGTAAAATTTTGGGAAGACACTTGGTGAGGAGATTTTCCACTCTTCCAAACCTTTCCTAGAATTTACAGCTTGTCCAATTTCAGAAATAAATCAATTGTTGAATTTGCTACTATGGATGATTTGGTTGTGGGGTGGGACCTTGGCTTGAGGAGAGTTGTGAGGGACCATAAAATGGGTGAGTTAATCTCTTTTTTGGGAACCCTTAAGATGTGTGACTTTTACCCCCAAGTGGGGATGAGAGAGTTTGGGCACCTACTGTGAATGGTCCTTTCTCTTGTGCTTCCTTCCATTCTTTTTTCTTATTAATTGATAGTAACCCTTTCCCAGCCAAAGAGATCTGGAGTGGTCCTATTCCCCTAAAGGTCGAGATTTTCTGTTGGGAGGTGGTTAATAAAGTCATTGATTTCCACGAAAGACTCCAAAGAAAGTGGAAGAACTAATGCATCTCACCTCATGCATGAATCCTCTACTTGAAGAATGGGGAGAGCACCAACTACCTTTTGCTCCACTGTTCCTTTTCTTCTCATATGTGGTAGCATTTTTTTGTCCTTGGATGGTAGGACTTGGGAGGCCCCTGCTGATGTTTCAGCCCAAGTTGGAAACTTGGATGAGACGTACTAGTAGAAGGCAAAAGATCTCATGGCAACGTGTAAGAGTTGTACTTTGGGGACTGTGGAGTGAGAGGAGTTAAGAATTTTTGAAGACAAACAGAAGACACTTGAGGAGGTTTGTGGGTGTTATCAATTTGGTTTACACAGGTTTAGAAAAGTAGAGAAGAAGAAAGAGAGAGAGGAGGAGGAGGAGAGAGAAGAGGAATGAATGAAAAACAAAGGTATAAGCTAGAGAGGATTGAAAATCAGATCTCTCAGCCAACCAGATCTGTATTTTATAGGTTTGTAAACAATATACAAAGACACTTATGCCCCTAATTAAGTATGGGACATAGTACTTAAATTGAAACAAAATAGTCAAAACACCTCTTAATACAACAAGATATAAAGACTATAATATCCCTGACTGTTGACTCTAATTCTCCTCAAGCTGGTGAGTATATATCATATAGTCTTAGCTTGTTACATATGTAATCCACTCTTCCTTGCCAACCTTTTTGTGAACAAATTTGCCCATTAACTTCTTGAGTTCAATGTGCTATACTTGTCACTTCACTAAGCACCTTTTCTTTTGTAAAGTGAAAATCAACCTCTATGTGCTTTATTTTCTCATTGAAGACCAGATTAAATGAGATGTAGACTGTAATTTGGTTGTCACAGTACAACCTCCATGTGCTGTTAATTGAGTACGCAATCTTCTACAGGAGGTTCTTCAATCACACTAGCTCACAAGTATTATGTGCTTTGGCTCTATATTCAACTTCAATAGTGCTTCTTCCTACCATTTCCTATTTCTTGTTCTTCCATGTCACTAAATTCCCTCCAAGAAAGTACAGTACCATATAGTGGATCTTCTATTAGATATTAAGCCAGCCCAATATGTAACCTTTTATTTCAAAACTTCCACCAAGCTTGTACAATAACCCACAGCCTGGAGCTCCCTTCAAATACTGCACAATTCTTAGAATTGTATCCCAATGGGGAACCCAAGGGTTTTGCATAAACTGGCTAACTATACTAACTACAAGGGAGATATTTGGATGGGTAATAGTCAAGCAGTTTAACTTACCCACCGCCTTCTGTACCTCTTAGGATCATTAAATTCCTCACCCACATTAGTGCTTAATTTGACATTTGGCTCTTGGGTGTTTTAGCTAGTTTGGCATCCAACAATCCTGTCTCCTTTAACAAGTCAATAATATACTTCCTTTGTTACAAATTGATACCATGCTTCGAATTTGTAACTTCTATTTCTAAAAATACTACAATTTGCTATTTTTTTTTTGTTTGGAAGTGATCATGTAGAAAGGCCTTCAATTTGTCAATTTCCAACCTCTTACTGCTAGTTATAACAATGTCATCTACATATACCACCAACAAAATATTTGTAGCTTTAGAATCATAGCCGAGTACTAAGTAATCAACTTGACACAACTTCATAACGAAATCTTTTACCACTTCATTGAATCTACCAAAGCAAGTACATAGAGACTATTTCAGCCCATAAATTGCCTTCTTGAGTCTGCACACCTTAGACCTTACCATCCTCCCCTTGAGCAACAAACCTTGGTGGTTTCTCTATATAAGCCTCCTCAAGAATGTCACCATGTAAGAAGGCATTTTTGATGTTGACTTGAAATAGGGGCTAGTCATACATAGTTGCTAAAGATATCATAACATGAACTGATTCAATCTTAGCAATAGGAGAGGTCTCTGTGTAATCTATGCCATACAATTATGAGTAACTCTTAGCAACCAATCGAACCTTCAACCTCTCTACCCTACCATTTTTGACAATGTGCACCCACTTGCAACCAACATGAAGCTTACTAGGATGGAGAGTGGTGAGCTCCCAGGTGTGATTATGTGTGAGTGTAGAGAGTTCTTCCATTGCTTGGTGCCACCTTGGGGAGGTAATGGTTCTTGGACATTCTTAGGAATAGAAATAGAAGACAAAAGGGAAACAAACTAGCGATGGGGAGCAAAGGTGAGAAACAAAAACATAATTAGAAATGGGATGAAGAGTACAACCATGTTTATCTTTATACAATGCAATGGGAAGATCAAGGCCAGAGGTAGGAGGCAACTCTATCTGTTGATGAAGAAGAAACTGGAGGAGTTGGTATCTGTAAATGAGTACACACTTGCCTGATTGGTGGCCATTTAATATTTAACTTGCATTGGAGGAGGTGAAGGCTTGGCCACAACTAGAACGGTAGGAATGGGGTCAACAATTGGAATTGGAAGTGGAAATACAGGAGGTAAGGGAGTAACATTAGAACTAGTGAAGAAAGGAACAAATTCAAGAAAGTGATAGATAGACAAACAAATGAATGTTAGGAACTGGGATTATAGCATTTATACCCTTTTTGGGTCTTAGAATAGCCAAGAAAGATACACTTTGTAAAACATACATAACCAAAAATTTTGAGAGTAAGAGGAAAAGGAAACAAAGTGGGAAACAAAATTAAGGAGAATGACCTTTAAGGATAGACATGGGCATCTAATTAATGAGAAAACATGATGTAAGTACAAAGTCACTTAAAACTGTTTGGGAACATTCATATGATGCAGAAGGGGCCGGGCAGTATCAAGTAAATGGTGGTTCTTCCATTCAGCCACCCCATTTTGTTGTGGAATGTATGTATGGGAAGTTTGATGAATGATACCGTGTTATTCCAAATATTGCTGGAACGGTGTAAATAAATACTCTACCATTATTAGAGCAAAGAATTTTTATATGAATACCAAATTGAGTTTGAATTTTAGCATGAAACTTTTGAAAAATGGAGAATAATTTACTTCTTTCAAGGTGGGAGATGGGTCAAGGGTAAGATTTTGGGAGG